TACTGATTCCCATCCCCTGCGCAGCAATTCCAACCATTCCGTTTCCGACGCTTAGTCTCGAGACTTCCCATCCCTCTTCCTGTTCGTCCCTCTGTTTTTTCTTTGCTGGTTGCTGCCCCACCCCCATCCTCTCCAACAACTACATTTAAATTATTTCATTCTAGTCATCACTGGTTATTGTAGCTGAATTTCCCCCCACTTCTAATTGAAAATGGCTGAAGTATTCGAAGAGGTGAGCACTGCTACTCACGTCTCTCACAATGCATGCGACCCGAATGTAGTGACGTCTGAGGTATGTTCTTTTTTTAATCCGATTTGCAGTTCTCTTTTCGTTCAAACTTAATTTTTCATCATTTAAAAGCATTGCAGTTAACCCATAACCTTTGTTTTTCTAGCTCTGGTTGCTTCGAGTTCCTGATTTGAGCCCATATATATCGTGTGAAAGATATCGAAAATTTGTCAACTACTAAAATGTTGGTAAATTTACAAAATTCATTTTGTCAGTAGACTGTTTTTTGATATCGTTTGAAGGAAACCAGATAAATGAGCTCAAAGTGCAAGTAACGGGTGGGCTTCTATTTATTCAAACCTCCAAACTAGAATTTTCTTTTTGTAATTTAGCACTATCATTTTAAGGAAGTTCGGTCAAATTTTAAATTTAATCAAGGCTCTAGGTCTTGAAATACATCTTAAAGTGAAGTTCCGAATTTTCGGGGATTGAAAAAAAACTGTTTGTTCAAAAATCAGGTTCACATTTGAAAAATTCTTGAAAACGAGATTTAAAATTTAGGACAAGCACCTTTTCTGTTGAAATTTAACACTGAAATTATTTTCTGACCCAAAGTGCGATTTCTATCAGATACGAGGGCTAGATATTGCTGAAATCATTTTTATCATGTTCGAACAAAAGTTCATAAAAATTCCACTAAATTTTCAGAGAACCTTTTGAAAACGTTCCCTTTTTAGGTTAGTTCATAAACCGTCTCGTCCCATATTCTTCCATTTTTGAGCAAATTAGACACGGTCGGTTGCTCACCCCATTCCTTTTTTACAATTTCCAACTCATATTTTTCCCGAATTGTTTCTTCTTTATGAGTTGGGATTTTTAAAAATCTTGACGAAAACTTTCATTTTCCAGCTTTTAATTAAAATTTTTCGCAGTTTCTCATTTTCTATTTTCTTCGAATGTCAAAATCGTCGACTCCCATAAAAGCCAAGAAGGAGGGGACGGCGAGAAAAATCTCGTTTTACCGCGCATCCTTAGACCTTTCTCTTAAATGTTTTCGCAGCTGCCCATGTATGTGTGTGTCTCATTGCCTTTTTCCCAACGCTTGAAGACAAGACACGACACAGAAGCAAAAACGGGGAGGCTGGGTAACGAGACTAGGAAGGCTTACTCTTTCTACTCAACGATAATTAGATGAGTACATGGTTGTGAGATGCCCCCCCCCCCCTCTTTCCACCCATTTTGCCTTTTATTTGTGCTAGAAAGGAAACCGAAACATTGACACAAACACATACATTTGCCCCCGATGGCACACGCACACGCACATCAGAATCCTAAAACATTCCGGATTCAGGTCCCGGAATAGGAATAGAGAGTTAAAATCGAATGCCGTGAATTTGTGAATTTGTGACCTCCGCCGTCGCAGTGGAAGCAACACATGCGAATATCAGGCAATTTACTCGACAATTATACTGGATAGTCAAAAGTGGCGTTGGGGGCGAAAAGATGACCGGATTGCCTAGAAATATACATCCACTATTGTTTTCAACATTCCACTATTTAGTTTTTTAACCCAACTGATCTGAATTTTCTCTTTTTTGAATTAGGTTTGAATTAGATTTGAATTCACGTTTTAATTCAAAAACTGAGCAATTAGCGAAAAATAGATCAAATGAAATTTCTCAATTTAAAAAAAACTAATATAAGGGATCTACAGTACCGGTCAATCAGATATACCAAAAAACTTTTTCTGGCATTTTTAAAAATTTTAAAATTCTGTAGCTCGTTCGTCAAGTTTCCGATCACTTCGAAAATTTTGGGGACTGTAAAACATACCTAGATTGAACACGTTTATTTCAAAAAAATTTTCAAAACTTCCTGGTTTTTCAGATATTCACCAATTCCTGAAAAAGACTCCTTTTTGGCCAGTTTTCGTGCTGAAAATATGAGATAACAGGTACCTTTCATAAATCGGTGAATAGCTGAGAAACTAGAAGTTTTCAAAAAATTCTGTAAAGACAAAGTTTTTAGTCTAGGTTTGTTTTACAACCTCCAAAAAATTCCAAAGTGATTGGAAAATTGACCACCGAGCTCCAGGCTCTTGACAAACTCTATAGTCAAGATAACCAAAAAGAAACTGAAAATCTTATTTTCAATTGTACTGTAAACGGTGAAAAATATCTCTCAATGTTAGTTCCTGAAAATCAGTGTGGGGGTTCTAAAAAATCCAAATTTCTGAACTCCTGTTTATCAACTAACACCTCTTTGAAAAACAAAAATCAGACTACATAATAACTTACCCCGGAAGAAAACAATAGGTAGCGGTGTAGTGGTGTATTTCTATTAAAATCAGAAACAAAAAATAATATAGGAGGAAAGAGAACGGAGGGCAGAAACAAAGGAATGTGTCAGGGAAAAACAAACCAATGTGAAGAAGAAGATGAAAAGAAAGAATAAAAGGAACATATTGTCCGTGGTGGCCCCCCAACTTGTCAGCTGCACCAACTGGAATATTCTGTAACCTTCTCTTTTTTTGGCGGGGGGCTCACAGCAAAAATATTAGTTTTTAGACTAGAAATAGTACTATCAAACGACTTCTTCAACGGTCTCATGACTTTTTTGCATAGGCGGCGTTTCTCGGGTTTTGTTAAAATGTCCCACAATCTTAATAATCCTTTTGTACCACTCATGTTGTCTTCGCACACAACAGGTGACCTCTTCTTAATGCAAAAAGGTCTTGAGATGGTCCCTACTAATCGATTCTCTCCCGACTCTCATCGTATGGTGGTGCAAATACATCTGTGCAATTTTGCGCAATACATACCACATGTTCTTTCATTCAGCGATACGTATTTTTCGATAGAATCTGTTTGATAGAGAGTCTCGATCTCATCGTTGTTTTCGATATTCCGCAAATTTTTTGTCTTACCAATCTGGTTCCACTTTTTTTTTGACTCTGCCAGTAGAATACACTCCTGATTTTTCGTTACTTTTGTTCATCTGGCTTGCACTACCAACCATCACCCGCTGTGTGCGTTACATGTAGATTCCATCCAAAACATCATGTGTGTGTGATTGGGAGGGGAGAAATCGAATGTCGAAAATGAATCGAATTCGAAACAAAATAGCTTCATCTTCTCGTCCGTTTCTCACACCCCGAGGGTGTCACTCTGTTTTACAACAACTGTTCTTCATTGAGAAGGAGATTTTGAGAGAGAAATTGATGCGTCACCTGGGAAAGAGCACCACTCTGGTGAGAAAGTGCGTTGTGAAATGCTCGGTGTGGAATTATGATTACTCCAATCAATCAATGACACAACAAGTGTCATTGGCTTCATTTTTTTGTATAGTGGCTCGCGAGTGCATTTTTTTTCATAACTGGACCTAATCTAAAAACAAAAATATTGTATAAAAGTGACGCATCGAGAGCAAACTGTTCGAAGGCTCAGTTTGTAGCCCAATACGTAGTAAAGATGGTATTTTTTGTGCAATTTTTCGATTTTTGTTTTTTTTAAATTTCGTCGGAAACGTTTTATGAGAAAAAGAAACTTGTCGTTAGTCTTTCAAAAAAATTGATCTTCTGCTATTTCAATAATTTTTTAACTCTGGAGCTCTGCTGTCAAGTTTACAACCACTTCGAAAACTTTGAAAGGTATGAAACAGACCTAGGTTGAAAACTTTGCATTCACAGAACTTTTGAAAATTCCTTGTTTTTGAGCTATTAGCTGTTTTCTGAAATATACCTGTTCTTTCACGTTTTCAGTAAAAATAGCTGAAAAAAAGGAGTCTTTTTCAAATAGCTGAAAAATTCAAAAACTTTGAAAAAGTTCTGTAAATGCGATATTTTAAGCTATGTCTGTTTTACACCCTATACAATTTTCAAAGTGATCGGAAACTTGATAGCCGAGCTTCGAACTCCTGAAAATGGTCAAATCTTATTGACCAGCGATGAATCTATTTTTTCAAACAATTTCTAGCTCAGATATTTTCAAATGTCCAATAAAATAAATGATTAGAAAATCTATATAGAAAGCTAATTACCGGAAACATTAGAGCCTACTTCTCCCATTTCCGATTTCCATTAGCACCACCGTTCCGGGCCTACCGTATTTATAACACACATCCAAACCGATTAAGCGTGTTGATTGATGTAGACAAACGAACCGTGTTCCAAGAATAATGCCGTTCTCACCATGTCCTCAGATTTTTCACTTCTCTAACCATCTGACTCTCTTTTTTCATACATGCTCTTCCCTCCACCCTGTAACGAACCTATCAAATTCAATCATTTTTCCTTCTCTTCTTTGCCAGCTGCTCCCCCCAAAATCTAGTGTCTTCTCTTTACTCTGGTAACTATTTTTGCCCTAAAAGTCCTCCTGACCGAGACATAATAATCCTATCCCATCTTTACTGCCTGTAAGACTTGTAAACAGAAAGAAGGGAGTGAGTAAAAAAAGAACTGCAAGGTCAGACATTATTTTTCGTTCCCTTTTCCATAGTGGCAAAAAAGTACACTCATTTTGGTGTGTGAGGATGATACCCCCATAAAACAGCTATTTGATTTTCGAACATCTGGTGAATTGGTTAATAGATTTGTTGATGTTATGACGGGGCCAGAATAATTGCTCCATTCTCGATCGCTCTTGCTAAAAACAACATTTCCTTTTTTCCTTCCTTCTTTTCTTGCTTCATATATACTTATAACTGTCACGATTATGTTTATGTAGTTTCGAATATACATTGATTATATAAGTTCTCCTTTCAGGCACTGCCCATGCAAGCACTGTACCAAATATCGGCCAACGGCGGCGGCGGCGCGGGACAACAAAATCAGCAGATCCCAATTGGCCTTGGGAATTCGTTGCTCTACCAACAATTGGCTGCACAACAACAGATTGCCGCTCAACACCAACAGCAGCTAGCGGTTTCAGCAGGTTCGAACAAATTTTCGACATTTTGAAAGATGTTATGAAGTAACATTAGCCGTCCATTTCGAGCCCATGTATTTCATTTTCTGTGAAAGATATCAAGAAGTGGTCAATTGACAAAATTTTGATTATAGTTTCAAAAACATTTTGTGAGTTGATCACTTTTTCCTATCTTCAATAGGAACCGAGACCAATTGGCTGAAAGTTAAAAATTAGGGAAATCATTATATTAGAGTGTTTACGGTATTGCCGCCCAAAACATTCAAGCTCAATTATCTCGATTCTCTTAGAAGTTATGAAAAATTTATCAACTGATAAAATATTGGTAATAATAAAATAAATATTTGATTAATTGAAGTTTTTTGTTAGCTCTTACAGAAATTGAGATAATTGAGCTCGAAGCTCAAGAAAAGCAAGGTTGGCGTTATATCAAACTATAAAAAGAGCCGTTTATGGACGATGAGGCTGCGGGAACGACGTGGTGCAGATTACTGCTACCACAAAACGGCTACCGCGCAATTCTTTTGATAGCGTCTTCCGTTTTATCGCTTCTTCGTCTTCTTTTTTAGTTCTGGTTACCCGGGCAATATGATACATCTCTTCGCGCTTGCTTTTTCTATCATCTTCTACTAGTCATACTCTCCGGAAATGTTAGCGGATGTATTAAGCGGATATTGATGCAAATGATATGCAATATGATATTTATTTTTGAAGTGAGTTTCCGGTAAGAATTTATGATATTCGTTATGTTCCAGTGAATCAGACTACTCAAATATTTCGTAATAGAAATGTTGAAACTCGTAAAACCAACTTCTGTCAACTCTAATTACTAGTTGAACTAAATATATACTAGCGAAAGTTTGCGGTTACGATCTTCTGACCATCCGCCACACACCGCTAATTCGAAATGGTGGTCTTTGCAAGTACCCGCACATGTCATTGAGGACCTGACCTGCATATAATCCAAAACCATCCTCTCTCCTAGTCGTTCGCACCATTTTCCCTCACGCGCTGTACTTCACCTGTAATTGTCTCATACAGTCTACTCTCCACGCGTTTCACTTTGTTCTCGAATCAAATCTGCATAGAGATAGGTCAACTAGAGAATTGTGTAGAGTTTTGGCAATGCCGCTCATTTTCTCGAAAGGTTAACTCGGTTTATTTGTTCCTTTGCTTTCTTCTCATCATCATCTTTTTCTTACAACACTCCATTTTTTTGCCTTTTTACTCCATCGTTTGCCGCAACTGTTTGTTCAACTTGTTTGAGCGGGGGTTACCGTTCCTTTTTAGCATTTATCCACTTTTGATGAGCCATAAGCTTAATTAGCTTTTCAAAATATTTATCGATGCTATGTTTTTCCCCTACCCTAGTTTTGTGGTGAAGGGTAGTTAACTTCGAAGTCTTGAAAACGTAAAACTATGTACATCGTGAACGCTTTTATTGAAGCTCCATACGTAAGATATCATAAATTTGTCAACTGATAAAATATTCACCATAATATCACCAATCTTTTATAGGTTGATAAAATTTTGATATCTTTCACGGGAATTGAGAATGAAAATTAGGGGTCGTTCTATTAGGAAGTTTATGGTAGTTAGCTTTCAAGTTCTGAACAACTAGTCCAAAGTATAATTATTGAAATCGGAGCTGTATTTTTTTCCTTCTATCTAATCATCCAAAAGCAAGACAAGCAACTTGAAATTTCCAAACGGTATATTTCTTCGGCATAGAGTTTGATGAAAAAGTTGTCTATAGATGAAGTAATATATTTTCATGGTTAGTATAATCTGAGTTTTTCAGAGAAGTGGAAAAATTCCTTAATTTTTTTTCTAATGTTCACTAGTTTTTACTTGAAAATTCAAGTTATGATATAACGTAAACACTGTAAAAGGAGGCCACCCTATACTTGCACTTTGAGCTTCAAGCATCTCACATTCTAAGCGATTTCCTCAAACAGAAACCCACTTAAATCGTCAACATTGAGCTCAATATGTTTGAGTCGTGTGAGTGATATCAAAAATTTATCATTTGATGACACATTGGTGATATTATGAAAAACATTTTATCAGTTGACCAATTTTTGATATCTTTCACAGGAATCGAGATAATTGAGCTTAAAGCCGGTGGTTTGGGTTGGCTTTCATAAGAGGGACAACGGTATTTTGTTGGAGTGTATACTGCAGTTTTTTGAGTACTGTGGAACGTTCTCAAATTGCTTCTCTCTCTCTCTCTCTCTCTCTCTCTCTCTCTTTCTTTAAAAACCTTCTGCTCAACAACACCACTGTAAAGTAGAACAAAACCCATTCAAAAATGTTGCCATCTCGTTTTCCTCTTCTTCTTCTTTTCTGCATTCTCCCAGCCATCAATACTCCAAAAACAAATGATTACTTGATGAAACGACGTGATAGACGGGAGGGAAGACACGTTTAATGAGCAAGAAGATAAAAATACGAGTCGCCACCACCATCAACTTAAAATTCAGAAAGCCCCGAATGTCACTTTTTGTTTTTCTCATTTCTCGCAAAACGTAGCCGCGAAAATAGTAACCGGGTGTGTTATCAGAATGGGATCTTCGTCTCATTTCTCCGAGCGTAACACTTGTTTCAGATCTAGAATAGATATCGTGTTGTGTTAGATGGGAAGAGAGGAATGGAAGAAATTTGCCGTTCACTCATTCGGCCTCAACCTGCATAGATCGTTCTGAATTTTATGCGGTTACTCTGACATTAATTATCGATTGAATTTTTCAATTATTTCCTCTTTCTTCCTATATTCCTATATGCTTCCAATTTTCAGCTCATCAATCACAAAACAACATAATGCTTGCTACTAGCGCTCCATCGGCGCTAATCAACCATATGGAGAATCCGACGGAAGCCAAAGTCAAGGTAAAAATTACCTATTATTTTTTTTTCTCTTACCCCAAAAACATTTTCTGTCATGCTCTCTCTCACCCCTCACTCGTTCACATTTCGTGTGTGTTATATGAATGAATACGTAGATCTGGGATCATCAAAGGCACTATGGAATAATAACCCCTGTTGGAAACATGTCGCTTTTTGGTTGGAAAAGTGTATGATTATTATTATTATCATTATTATTATTATTATGTGCATATCATTGTTTTTTTTCGAGAGAAAAGTAGTCGAAATTTTTTCTATCTATCAGTTGACACTAACCCTTTTCGAACAGTGTGAAAAAAGTTTCAGTTCGAATTATGCAAACTACCGTATTTCCGCAAATGGAAGTCCACCCACATCGTCAACTTTGAGCTCGATTATCTCGATTCCTGTTGAAGTTATCAAAAAGTGGTCAACTGTAATAATTTTGATCATAATATTACCAACATTTCACCTGTTGACATATTTTAAGGATCTTACACAGGAATTGAGATAATTGAGCTCAAATTCGACTGTTAGGGTAGGCTGCTCATATGCGCCAAAAAACAGCGACGTGTTTCTCCAGATTTGATAAGTAGATCAAAACTTAATTTTTGCTTTTATTCACACTATCAAAATGTTTCTTTTTCGTGACTTAACTCCTATGCTCTTCTACTTTAGGTGAGAGGTGGTGTGTTGCATCTCAACCAGTAAAGGGTTGTGAACTTGGCATGCTCTGGAATTACTAGGAAAGCAAAAAGAGCGCGAAAAGATTCCCTGACACATGGTTTTTCTCGATCCTAAGGCGCATGATCTGTGAATGAGCGCTTTTTGTTTTACAGGACGATCCGAACGCTGACTACGATTTGCAACTTTCGATTCAGCAGCATATGGCTGCTGCTGCTCATGCTGCTCAGGCCGCGCAAGCGGCTCAAATGGCTCCACAAATGGGCCAAACACAAATTGGCCCACAAATCGTTGGACAACCTGGACAACCGGTGGTAGCCGCGGTCACCACTGCCGCCGGCACCACGAACGGCACATCGGCAGTCACACAGCCCGATCCCAGCACTAGCTGTAAGCCTTGCTTTCCTTTTCTTTTATTTTCTTCTCGAGATTTGAAACAGAAATCATTCAATCGCAACTTTTCTTGAGTTTTTTCATTCTTGTGCTGTTCTCTCTTTTTACATCTTTTTACATTCGATGCGTCTTGAATAATGCATGGAGAGACAAAACGTGTTTTGACTCTCTGGAATTGTGGAAATTGGCCAGATTTGAGAGAAAGTGATTAACAATTGCAATTTATCAGATACTTTTTATCTAATGTATAATTCTAAAAATGTCCTTAAAGTCATGGTAAGAATTTCAGCTGGACCAGATGGACCGAAAAGATTGCACGTCTCGAATATCCCATTCAGATTCAGGGATCCGGATCTTAAGACAATGTTCGAGAAGTTCGGAGCGGTTTCTGATGTAGAAATTATTTTCAATGAGCGTGGCTCAAAGGTAATACTGACGCCTCTATTTTCAAACCATGGCTTTTTTTTTAGGGATTTGGGTTTGTCACTATGGAAAGACCTCAAGACGCGGAAAGAGCACGTCAGGAACTTCATGGATCGATGATTGAGGGTAGAAAGATTGAAGTTAATTGTGCCACTGCTAGAGTTCATTCTAAGAAAGTGAAGCCAACTGGAGGTATCTAAAAACATGCAGTAGTAGCTTCTTATCCCCAATTTTTTTCCAGGAATCCTAGACCAAATGAACCCACTTATGGCCCAATCTGCTCTAGCTGCTCAGGCCCAAATGAACAGAGCTTTGCTATTAAGATCCCCTCTCGTTGCTCAGTCCCTACTTGGAAGAGGAGCAGGATTGATCCCTGGAATTCAACAACCAGCTGCCGCATTCCAACTTCAAGCTGCTCTAGCAGCAAATCCATTGGCTCAGCTACAAGGTCAACCGCTTCTTTTCAATGCCGCCGCTCTCCAATCCAATGCACTACAACAGTCAGCCTTTGGAATGGATCAAGCCGCCGTTCAAGCTGCTCTCTTAGCCAATGAGCAAGCTCGGTTACTGGCTGCTGCCGCCGCTGCTCAAGGTAACGAGTACCTAATGTACCATCAAGCCAAACAACAAGAATTGTCAGGACGGATTCCATCGTCTGGAAATGGGACCGCGTTTGGAGAGCAATATCTGGGAAATGCGCTGTCCGCTGGCTCACTTCCTTCATATCAGATCAATCCGTCGCTGAGAACTTTGAATCGTTTCACACCATATTGATTTGTTTAAAAAATACCTTTTCACTGGAGCTTTGTTCAAAAATTTCTCTCTTTCTCTTGACCTCATTAGCCACCTACGCAGTCACTTTCACTTTTTTTTCAGCTGCTCTGTATTTTTCGCTACCTACATCTATAACTCCTAAATCTTCTTTCTATACATTGATTCGTTGCATATTATCAATTGTGTCACATTTCACAGCGATAACTCATTTTTCTTTCTTTCCATTTAAATTTTTGTCTCCCGTTTCTGCTAGTCCTCCGGAGTTTTCTGAATAATACGGCGTATTTTTTTCATTTTTTTTTCAATTTTTTTTTGAAATTCATTTCTCATAATAATAATTTCCCACTCTTTCTCTCACTTCTTTCTTTGCTGCACATATACCATGAATCCATTTTAGTGACAATTCGCTTAAGCTTTAATTGTAATTGTACACAATTTTTTCTGAAAATCTATAACCTCAAGCATCCTTTTTTGCACCCAAGTTTTCATTAATTTGCACCAACCGTCTTCTTTTTTTCTCTTCTTGTCCTCTGTCTTCTCCCACCAGTCACCAATTTTCCTTACTATGTTTTTTCCCTCTCTATACTTCTTTGTGTTTCTTCTGATCGTCTCTGTTTGCTAAATCATGAATCTAAAATTTAAATGTGGTGTGTTGAAGGGTGCTTAGTGCTGCTCATATGGCTCACATCAACACCGTGTGTGTATGGTTTGCTTTGTTTTGCAAGCAGGGGATGGAAAGAATATGGGACAGGAATTGGTGCATTATGGAGGATGAGCAAGAATGTGTGAAGGCTACTGCATCTGGGAAATGAAAAGTTTTGCGAGTTTTTTCAATGGATTTTTAAAATTTTCAGACAAAAATTCTAACGAGTATGAAACGGGCATGATACTGTTATTTCTAGTAAACAGTGTTTCTTTATAAAGATTATTGTTTTTTATCAAATTGTTGTATAAGAATCTGTATGTATGATAATCAATTTTAAGGTCAGAACAAATCAGAATATTTTTTCAGATTTCAAATTTTCGAGTTTTTTCAGGAGATTTTTTCTGATCGGTCTGATCTTAGGAAATTTTCAGCAACTTCTAAAATGCCATGTGTTTTAAAAAATTAAATATAATCATACTTGTAATCCGGGCCTTTCCCGGGCCTTCGCGGGCCCTGCCTTAGTTTCTTTCAGAATCGGGATTTATAGACCAACTAAATTGGATATGATAGAGCTCGACGAGTACTACAAAAAGATGTTATGCGGAATACTGTATCTTTTTTGGACGTGCCGAGCCGGGCCGCGACGGGTCTGCTTTTTTCGCTCTTTTTCAATTGTAACTTTGTTCGCAAACATGATACAGCTCTCTAAGTAATATCATTTTGTAGTACTTGTCAGGCTCTATCATATTTGATGTAGTTGGCCTAAAAATGATGATTCTGAAAGAAAAAATGGCAAGGCACGCAAAGGCACGGGAAAGGCCCGGATTACAAGTATGAATATAAAAAAATTTTCAAATCAAAAACAACATTTTTTACAATAATCTGCTTTTTCCAACTATTGGTTTGGCAGAAATTTCGTCCATGTTTTAATTGGTTCTGAACATTTAAAAAAAAATGAATTTCACATTTCAGACAATTTCTCGAAAGTTTTTCGGATTATTCGAGATGGAGATTTATTCAGAAATGAATAAAACATTTTCTCGAGAAAATGTCTGAAATGTAACATTTCCTCCGATTCTTAGGATAACATTACAAATTTCATATACTGAAACACTCCTAAAAGTTGAAAATAGTTTCTGAAAATTGCTGTTTTTGAACTGAAACAAAAGTTCTTTTGGTATTGAAACTAGTGCATTAACCACCCGGCTGAAAATGACAAGTTGATTTAAAAATTTCATAAGTTTTAAAATCGGCTGTTCGTAACCTATCCGGACATCAAAATATGGGTTTACAAAGAGATGAGGTTCCCGTAAGTACATCTTGACTCATCAATGAATAAAAAACATCAAGTCCGTAAACGAGCCTCCCATCTGCCCGTCTGATGCAACTATTCTCTAGCCAATTCTAAGAACTTCATCTATACTTGTACATTATTTTTTCCTCACATGCTTCTGTCGCTCTGGGTCCCATCTAAAAATAGATAAAAACGCGACATTCTTCTGATATATCTTTCTTTCCTGTTTTTGTCCACGCCCACTTTTAAGGGCTGTACATGGCCGCTCTAACATATAGTGTCTCTTCTAACATATTCATGAAGCCCACATTTCACTTTTAGCCCCATCCCACCATCGCCACATGCCGTACTGCCAACGTGCCCTCGTTTTGCTCCTTTTATTAGCGATATTCTCAAACTATGATTCTGACGCGTTGAAATGTCGACTGTACCACAAAATCTGGGAGGATGGACATGTTTTGAGAATCAATCCAGATGTATGTCATACGTCCAACCAATACTGCGTCCGAGCTACGTATTCGGATCCGGATAAGCGAAAGAAGAATGGCTATTCGATGGGATGTGACAAAGTGGATTGCCAAGGAATCGACGATCCCAACTACACCGGATGGGTACAAAAGAATGGCGAGTTCTGTCGGAAGAGCAGGGACTACGGTAAGAATGGTGAAATTTGCTGCTGCCCAAATGACATGTGCAATTCCTCTCAACGACTTTCGTTCACTGTCATACAATCATTGTTGCTCTCATATGCTCTTACTTTTTTTGATAACTTTGTAAATATTTTCGATACACACTCATCTTATTGGTGCTTTCTTCGTACAAGTTTTTCTTCTCCGAAATTATACTCCATTTTTCATAATTTGTCATTTTTTCGCTAAAACGGGTTTCGAAATTTTTTGGAATTTTTCAATAAAAACTGTTAGTTGAATTTGTCCACAAAAAGAAAAAAAACATACAAGCTCCGATAATAATAATTAAACACGTGCTCGAAATATCCAATTTGTTCGAATCAATGGAAAGCAAAAAAGTTTTGAATATTTTCGGAAGTTCCAGAATTTTTTCAAATTGTGAAAATCCAGCTTCACCTGGTCGGGCCGGAAAAATTGCTGACTGGGACCTAATATTTCAAATGTACAGAATACATATCCAGTAAGAGAATTAGGAATTCGTCCTCGAAAAATCAAAAATGATAGTTTTATGTGAATGCTTTCAGAAATTTCCTCATATCTGATGGTGAAATTGCAAAGTTAAAGGGGGACTCCGAGCAAAAATTTGTATTCTATTAAAATGTGTTAAAAGTTATCTATTTTCCTAACATTATTGTGAAAAAAATCCAAAAGAAATCCCCGAAAAACGCCGTTGAAAATGAACAAAATTCAAAAAAGGTGCCACTAATTTCATTTCTGACCATGTGACTCGCCAGCTGGCTCTTTTTCTCTCTCATGATAACGCGGTGCATCAGTTCGAACATTGTTATCAACACTCTGGTGTTCTCTGATCATCTAAATTTTTTTCTCAGTGTCTACAGTAATTTATCATTGTTTTCACAAATTGTTTCCGATTTAATAATTTTTGATTGATGCATAATTACTACCGATAGATGGAAAAAAGAAATATCAGTATCAAGATGCATCTATGATTCAATTACTGAAATGTTGCTTTTCCTTTTATTTTAAAAATATATAAAAAGGGGAAAAAAGAAAAAACATTACAACTTTGTGACTTTGAAATTGCATATGCTGGGAAGAAAGAGCACAAAAATTGGGAGCACGGAGAAAAGAAAAAAACATACATAATGCAGCGGAACCCACTCCAGGCACCGCTAGGAAGAATACAAAATGTTTTCAATGAGATTTTTCTTCCGGACGATGGGGGACAAAAGTCCTGAAGAATAATGCAACATG